AATGAAACAAGTTATATGAATTGTTGAATGTGAAACTGATGATGTGCCCTGTAAACTTTCACTCAATCCACAATAAAAACCTTAAAAAAAAAAACAAAAAACTCACAAAGCTTAATTTTTAATGTGTAGTTCTAAAGTTATGCCTTGAATAATATATGTATCTAATTTTAATGATTACTGCTGATAAACCTTATGTAAAGATATGAATTTTGGTGTAAAACTATCATTTAAAATTAAAAATGAATTAACTACAAGATTTTCTATTTTCAGTATAACTGCCCTCAACACCACCAACTGAGGAACATGGGGAATAAAAATCATCTCCTAGCTTCTATGACAGATGCTGATGAATACACCAGGTCAAGCAGTGCTACTTGTAAAATACATCATTTCAAACTCACCCAAAGCAGGAATGCAGAGAGTACGGTGACTAGGATCATTCTGCTGGTCGGGTTCACTTTGGCTTGGCACCGACTCAGGCACTGTGCTGTCATCAGGTGGGGTAGATGAGAAGAGACTGACACTGACGATGCTGGCAGCCCTTGGGCTGGAAAAGCAAGGCCTTGAGGAAGGACCAGGATCATCTTGTGTATAATAAGAGTGATGTGGCTTTTTAGCAAGGGCAGAGGTAGTCGGTGGACTCTGGCTGAAGTCTCTTTCCTGATCATTGAAGAGTCGCTGCTCCAATTCAGTGTCACTGCCTAAATCTGAAGAGTTGGGCTGAAAAGCAATTCCTCGTCTTGTCACTGGTAAAGTCGGGCTATAACTTTCAGCGCACTCGAATTCAGCAGGAGGTCCCTTCTTCTTGGGTTTCTGGTATTTGTTTTTTTTAGGATACGGGTGGCTGTGATGTTTGTATCCCAATGATTTCTTCTGAAAAGAGAAAAAAATAAAAATAACTTAGTAAATTAATATTTTGTTCCCATCCAATAGTGCTTCACATTAAAGACAACAGTGCTATCCTATGATTTATTTAGTCCTATTTAACCCTCCAATTTAATTGGTTATATGACTTATTTCAGTCCTATTTAACCATCCAATTTAATTGTATTTTATGTTACACTAACAATATGCTCATTGCCACATACTGATTAAATGCTCATTGCCACATACTGATTACAATTAAACTTCTCTGTTCTTCTAACAGAATTTAAGTTTATCTGCTACTACAGCAAGTACAGATCTACTCTGCTAAATGCAGTTATTACTTCTAATTGACTGATACCTTTGGAACCTAGAGGTTTATCATAGTTATGAAAATATTTTTGTAACACTTACACGACGCTGCCAAAATGATTTTGAACGATGGCGTTGGATTTTTGACACCTTTCCATGAATCACATCAAACTTCCTATCCAGGTTTTGAATAGCATCATGTATGACCTATTATAATATAAATTATTTTAGTACTTCCTTATTTCAAAAGAAAATAATATATAGTAAAATACCATCAGGTCACATTTTAACTGCTAGAAAGAAAGTAAGCTACCAAGTTGTAGACATTCATTGATGTCTGGCTGTAGGTGACCCACTGCCTGAATGGCTGAGATCAGGAGCCCCAACTTCTAGTAAAGGACTTCATTTCATATAGGTACTGAAAGGAACTTTAATACGGGAAAGCAAATATGCCGCAATCCCTATAACCTATCAGATTTATGATAGAGTCCTTTCCTTTCCCATTAAGGAGGGTGCACTTTAGGAAAGGAATTTTCGAATCTCTATAAAGCCCAAAGAGTCTCTCTCGTGTGAACTACTAGGCCGTGAGCATTCAGATATGGAGAGAACACTAAACTAAATACAACTTCTAAGTTTTGAAGTAGCTTAAAGTCATGAAATTAACAATTAACCTTGCAAATGCTCTGAGTACATGTTCCCTGTTTGCCAATGGGGTATGTGACTCAGAAAATAAACTGAGAAGTTTTGTTGGAATATACAGACATTTCATTTGGGAAAAAATTGCACTTAAAAGGCCAAAAACATTTTCCCATTCCCTAGGACCAGGGACATTAAAAAAACAAACAGTCCCTGACCTAAAGGAAACTCCATTTTAGTTGGGTGAGGGAGACAAGTAAAGCAATTATTTCAATAAAGTACTGCACAGTCTGGAGCCAAAATCCATTGCTACCAAGTCGATTCCAACTCATAGTGACCCTATTAGGACAGAGTAGAACTGCCCCCGAGGGTTTCCAAGGCTATAAATCTTTATAGGAGCAGATTACCACATCTTTCTCTGGTGGAGTGGCTGTACGATTGCTGACCTTTCAGTTAGCAGCTGAATGCTTAACTACTGTACGACCAGGCCTCCCCCAGCCTGGAGTAGTACATATCCCATTGTAATCCCATGGATGGCAGCACCAACATTACTTGTGAGAGCTTGTCTGTCAGAAATGCAAAGTCTCAGGCTCCAGCCCAAATCTACTGAATCAGGAACTTCCAGAGTACGGGTGGAGATTGGTCTGTGCTTTAACAAGCCCTCCAGGTGATGCTGATGCAAACCCACTGGCCAAATTAGCCAATGTCCTATGAAAGGGGAAGTTAAATATATAACAATCTAGATGAAACAGACAACTACAGCTACATTGTTACGGGATTTTTAAAAAAGCTACACAAATCTATATATTGCCATTTCAAATTTTTTACCTGAAGAGTTATATGAATGATAAATTGTTAAAAATCATCATAATGTGCCATGGAGTCGGTTTCAACTCAGCAACCCTGTATAGGGTTTTCCAAGGCTGTAAATCTTCAGGAGAGCAGAAAGCCTCATCTAATTGGATACTCTAAAATTTCTACTAATAGTATAATGACATCAAATGAAATAAAAATTTAGTTACATATTTTAGAAAATTATATTTGAGAGGCAGAACTTTCATACCTGGCAGTGGGCAAGAACATCCTTAACTGTTTTTTCGTTATCTTCATCGGTGGGTGTCTCAGGGACAACATTGGCCTGCTAATATTTTTTAATTAAATAGTTAATTATTTACTTCTCTAAGAGTCAAACTGAACTGAACACTGGGGAAAAAAAACCCAACATTTTAAATTGTATTTTATTTTTTTAAACCAACCTTTCAGAAGATTTCAGAAGTCTTAATATTAAGCAGAGATACGATGAAATAAGAACACATTAATATGAGAATAAAACATACAGTATGAGAATGAAAGTGACAAGGCTCAAGTACGAAAGAGAAGAATGAAGAATTTATTATTAAAAAGATTAGAAAGGAAATGAATTTTGTACTTAAAACAAATACAAAACTGCTCTGAATTTAAGGAAACAAGGGAAGTAAAGAAAGGATGCACGCAAATTCAAGAGAAAAAGATTTTCTTAAATATGAGCTCAGAGGAACTTCATAGTACATGAAGGCCAAAAAAGAATGTAAACCTTTTCCTTTAGCATGATGTTAATATATTTGGCAAACAGCAATTAATTTACTTACTTCACGGAAAAATGCAATGTTTGGCTCGTATGCATAAAGGACAGTATTATCATCATCATAAGTAGGTATCCGAGTTCTTATCTAAAGAAGATTTTTTAACAAATTAAAAGGCTAAAGAAAAACTCAAAAAAAAAAGTTCCAAGTTTCCAATTTCGCTTTCAGGAAGCTCCAAAGGCCTATTTGTGATATCAAACGACCTTTGTCCATTGCAAAAACCACAACTACATGAAAAGATGTAATTAAAGAGCTGTTTTCTTATTAATTCAACTATAATTAGTTGAATTAATAAGAAAAACACCGTTTTCCACCAAGTTAAATCTCTTATGTACTTCAGAGTTGAAAAATTAGTTGTCTAGTAATTTGGCATCAGAACCTTATTAAAAGGAAATAATTCTAACCATGAGCAAAGGACCAAATCCTATGGCTTTTAAATTTTAAATAATCTAACAGTGCCACTATGTGGACAAAATACAAAACCACTTAAGTCCCTATTATTTTTAGCAAATTAATCTCTAAATCATTAATTAAATTTTTGGAATAAGGCAAAGTATAGATAAGTAAATACTGATTACCTTACATTTTAACTCTTTTAGAAACTATGAACTTTAAGAATAATTTTAAAGTAAACATACCCAGTGGCTATGTATGGTTTGTTTCAAAATATATGATAGAAATTACCGGATTAACCTTGCATTGATTAGATAACCAAAATAATATGGCACTGTACTATAGATTGCTGTGGCTGTTAAGTGCCATCGAATTGATTCTGACTCATGGCAATCCTGTACAGGGTTTCCAAGGAGTGGCTGCTGAGTTTGAACTGCTGACCTTGCGGTTCAAACCGATCAGTACTTATAAACTAAGCCACCATCTTACTCTTGGTATTACCTTTACGCTTGCAAAATGTTTTCAGATAATTATGTCAGAAACCACAACTCTTGGTAGGCAGTTAACATTATCTCCATAGAAGAAATATTGGGGTGGATGTAAGTCAAGAGACTTGTCTGTACCTGTTCTTATAGAGATAATTAATGTGTCTTTTATAAGTCAAATTATGTATAATTCAAGTTCAAGGATCAAGAAACATAGCAGAATGTGATGGAACGGCAAAACATTCCAACCACTTTGAAAAACTGGCATTGTGATGAAGTTAAATTCACACCAACCCCATAACCAACCAATTGAACTCCTGAGTATTACTCAGAAGAGATGTAAATGTAGTGCTTTTAAAGTATTGCACATAGCAGCATAATACACGATATTCCAATCCTGGAAACAACCTAAATGTCTACCAAGAATGGATAAATAAAATGTGAATGTTCATACAGTGAAGTAACAATTAGCAATAAGAGAGTCCTGAGGAACTATCAATCCATTCTAACAGCACAGATACATCTCAAAAACATTATACTAAGGAAATGAAATCAAGCAAAGGAGTATATCCTATATTATTCCAATTATACAAAGTTCTAAAATAATCAAAACAATGCTTTTGAGGTATATATGTGAAAACTGACTGGAAAGACAAATATCTGGGGCCCTGAAAATGTTGTCTATCTTAATGTTGTTTTTGTTAAGTGCCATTGAGTCGATTCCGACCCATAGCGACCTTGTATAGAGTTTCCATGGAGCAGGTGGTAAGCTTGAACCACCGACCTTGTAGTTCAAACAGCTTTTGCAGTCTGAAACATTAGCCCACAGCGCCATACCAAGACTCCGATATCTTAATAGAGGTATGTATTAAATTGTTATTGCTGTCAAAAGTCATGATTTATCTACTTAAGATCTATGCATTTCACTGTATGAAATTCAAATGAATTAATAAGAACTATTACAGAACAAAAAGAACAAATACAGATTTTCAGTTTGAAATACAAACCACATCATTTTCACTGGAAGCAGTAGACATCTTTTTTGTATGACAGGATAAACTCCACTTCACTGGGTTGGGTCTATTTCTTTTTTAAAAATTCAGGAAGGTTTATTTGTGAAACTGCTTGGTCATCTACTGGTAAACTTTCAACTCCTGAAAGGCAATGCATGAAAAATTCACTAAACATACTTACTATCTTAATAGGGAAAGGCTCTCAGAATGCCACCTCAAATTTAACTGGAGCCCTCAATGAATTTGAGAGTGGCAAAATATCAATTCTTCCATTAATGATTTAGAAGAATACTTTAAAAAATTGAAGAACTATATTACTAGAAATATGAAGCAAAATCTAAACCTCAATTCCAAAAACAACTCCAACCTGTGAAATGAATGCTTTGCAAATTAAATTCTACAACATGAATGCTAGCAACAGTTTTGGAATGGATTTCAGAAAGGATTTTTTACTTATGGACGCAGAGCATGCTGGGGAGAAGCCCTCAAATGAGAACCTCAAAATAGAACCAGTAGTCTATTTTGGATTTGGCCCCTACCACCTACATGGGCTGGGCAGACCATTAAACCACCACTTCCTCACCTGCCAGGTGAAAAACTGACCACGGCTATCTCTAAAGTCCATTTCAGCTCCACTTGAAATCTCAAGAATGAGGATAGTGAGATAATTTCCCAACTACAGCTGTGTTTATGACACTCTGACAGTATTTCTAACAACCTTATGGGGTTTGTTGTAGTTAAGTGCTGTGGAGTTGGTTCTGACTCAGAGAGACCCTGTATAGGGTTTTCCATGGAGTGGCTGGTGAGCTTTAAACGCCGACCTTGCAATTCAAACTGGCCTTGCAGTGTAGCACATTAACCCACAGAAAGAACCACACCAGGACTCCTGTGGGGTTTGTTGCTGTTAAGTGCCGGCCAGTGGGTTCCAATCCATATCAACCCAGTATAGGGTTTCCAGGGAGAAGCTGGTGAGCTTGAACCTCCCACCTAGCAGTTCAAATGGCTTTGCAGTCAGGCACATTCACCCATAGTGCCACACCAGGAGTAGGTTATAGTATTGTCTCCATTTTCCTTATGGGAAAACTGAGGCAAAGAGGGATTTTTAAAGTATTTTACCCAAGTCTTATCCCTATTAAGTGGTGAAGCCTGGCTCCAGTGTACACTCTTTACTTCTTCAATATCACATCTACTTGGAATCCCTTCTCTAGCAGTAACAAAGCAAAACCCAAACTCCTATCCTTGTAAGGACCCTAGCCCATCTCTCAGAGGTCACTTTGATTAAAAAAAAAAAAAAATACTATCTGGCCCTATACAAAAAAAAATTGCCAACCTCTGTGCTGTTACATTTCCCCACAAGGTAAAATAATCAAAGTTTCTGCGACATTTTCTTAAAGCTCAACCATGACTAGCTTATGCAGAATTAGTAAAATTCTTTCCATTCAAAACCTTGCAAAACAAGTTTACTTAAAAGTGGCTATCATTTATAATTTACAGTAGAAATCTGACATTTGACAATCCCTACTGTATAAATCATGACACAGGGTAGAAATTTGGCTCCAATGAGACACAGAACAGTGTGCACCAAGTCTACCAAGGGCCTCCTAGTACTTTTACATTTGTGGCACACTTGCAATTAACACCATCTTGCACAGTTTAAACCTCTCATTCCTCTGCCCGTAATACCATGTTGTCTCTTCACCAGGAGAACCAACTTCAAGGCTAAATTCAATTCCATCTCCAAACCCCACTGTGTTGTCAGTGATCATTCCACCTGGAGGTGGCACTGCTTTCCAGGAACTACCAAACACTCACATTTTAATGCTTTTAAGACAGTTGCCACATGTTGCTAGTTACAACATTAACTTAGGCGTGGTGTCAAGAATTCCTGAGTTTAGGTCCCAGCTCCCCCACTAACTAATGGTGTGACTTTGGAAAACTTAACTTCTCTGTGCTTCCATTAAAAAAATCGAAAAAGTGAGGGTAATATTAGTACAAACTCCATGAAGTTGCTATGAAGATTAAATGCAATACAAATCAAGTATTCATAGCAAATGAACTGTTAGCTACTATGATTCTATTGTATGACTATTCACCACATGCTCCTAATGGAACTATTCATCACAGAGCACCTGAACAGCAAGCCTTTAGAGTCATACCATGCACTTTTCAGGCATACTGTATCTGTGCACTGCAAATATCACCATCATGTCTTATAAATGAATTGCTACACCTTTTAGTGGAGTCCTGGTGTGGTGCTGTGGGTTAAAGCGCCAGACTGCAAAGCAGTTTGAATTGCAAGGTAGTATCAGCAGTTCAAGCTCACCAGCTGCCTCTCAGAAACCTTATACAGGGTCACTATGGGTCGTTAACGGACTTGATGGCACTTAACAACAACAACACCTTTTTGTACCAGGGGATGGTACAAAAGGACTAGGATTTAATCATAAACACTTGAACCCAAATCCAATTAGCAAAATCTGTTAATTCACTTCAGGCAGGTATCTCTCATCTCTCTGTGCCTCAATTTCTTAAATTGTAAAATTGGGACATTTACTTTACAGGACTATATAAAATCAAATTAGTTAAGAATGGTAGCATCATGCCTTGGTCATAGGCAGCACGCCATACATTTTCCCTTCTTCTCACAAGGTAAATAATACTGCTTCTGCAACATTTTCTTAAAGCTCAACCATAACTAGCTTGGTGGTGGTGGTGGCTGTGTGCCTTGGCGTTGGTTCCCACTCAGAGCACCCCTGTATACAGGATTTCCAAGGCAGTAAATATTTACAGGCGCAGAAAGCTTCATCTTTTGCTAGCGGAGCGACTGGAAGATTAGAACTGCTGACTTTGGGGTTTGCAGCCCAACTCGTAATCCATTGCACTACCAGAGTTCCTGTGACTAGTTTATGCAGAATTAGTAAAATTCTTTAAATTCAAAACCTTGCAAAACAAGTCTACTTGAAACTATTATTCATATTTTACAATAGAAACAGAAGCTCACCATAACAGAAAAACAAGACATCTGCATTTTTTAAAAAAGCCATGTTACACATTCTCAGCAACCAAACCCATTGCCTTTGAGTCCATTCCGACTCATGGAGACCCTGTAGGGCAGAGTAGAACTGTCCCATGAGGTTTCCATGGCGTAAATCTGTATGGAAGCCTGCAGAGCGGTTGGTGGGATCGAACAGCTAATGTTTAAACTCGCAATCGAGTGCTTAACCACTACACCACCATGCACAGCTGCTCCTTTTGAGACACTAAAGACATTCTGCAACAGTCAAGTGAGTAAGCTACATATTAACAGCAAAATATCAGATTAGGCTGAGCTCACCAAGGTGAGACTGAAACAGTTTTTCTTTCACCCGCGAGGAGAACACACCGGGAAACCGCGCCAAGCTTCATTTTTTTTTTTTTTTGAAGTTTATTGTTTGGTTTAAACAAAATTGTGCTTTAAAACAAACAAACAACAAACACAGACCTAACAGCAGGACACTGTTAATATACTGAACAATCACATTTTTAATTTCCTGGCAGAACTGGCAAAAACCACTGTACGTTTCAAACTTTAGAGACAAGAAGTTTCTAGATGGCAGGTCATTTCGTCCACATGCTGCGAGCGGCCCAGGGAGGCCCGAACCCGACTCTAGCCGGCTCCCTGCTTTATCATGCCGGCACACCCGAGGGGCTACAAACCGCCAACACGAGTTGACCAGCCGCTTCTCTGAAACGGTCGCTATGGGTCGGAACCGACTGCACGCAGGCACACGACAACAACAATCCGAGTTTACCACAAAACCGCTGCGTAGCAAGGTCTGGAAGAGGCGGCGGAGTAGCCGCCCCCCAGTACTGCCCGCCCGCCCGCTCTCTTTACGTTCGCGAGCGTTTCCGGACTCCAGCACCGACCTTCCTTCCTAAAGCACCCAGCCATCTGCACAGCACCCATGGAGCACCGGCCTCCTCGCCTCACCCCCGGGAAGCCTGTACAACCACACAACCCGGCGGCATGACCAGTCAGCTCCGACCCACCCGACGCACTCGCCCTCAACGCATCCCAATCCGCATCAGCGCCACAGCTGCGCTAGGAATCGCCTCGCCGGTCTGCCAAACCGCCTCCCCCAGGCAAGAAAAAGACTGACCAGCGCCCCCCAGAAAGGCGGCATCCAGTAATGAGCCAGATCTCGCAGCTCACACTCACAGAGTCTCTTAAGACCCTCGCACTCTGTCCCCCGCGGCCGATCCTCCCCGGGCCCCCCAACCCGCGCAGCCTATCATCCCCCGGACCCCCGGTCTGCGCGGCCTATCCTCCCCGGGACCCCCGGTCCGCGCCGCCTATCCTCCCCGGGACCCCAGGTCAAGGCTCTCAGATTCAACCTCTCTGGCCTCCGGCCGCAGAGCCCCGGATCTTTTCACACATTAATTGGTCGGGCCTCGGCAGCTCACACTCCCATTTGGGCAAGAAAGTACAAGCGGCAAACAAGGGATGCTGGATAAACTTACTTTTTCCGCAGTCTGCCAAGCCGCTCTCCGAAAAGCGCCTCACGGTGTCCCGCCGCCTCCAATCGCAAAAGTCACTACAGTTATGGCCACCGAGGCTCAAAAGGTCCTCTAGACGGAAGCGCAATTCAGCTGCTTGACGCGCTTTCCATCAGAGGCCAAACTGGCGCCAGACTCCGTAGCTCACACGCGTTAAGCGCGGAGACTCAGCGTTGACTAAAACCTAGAAAACTCTAATGGACACGCCCCGACCCGTAGGCAGCCAACAGCCAATTAGCGTTGCTAGGTGCTAGGAGGGGCGGGGCTTGGCTTCTCAGGGAGGGCGGGGCGGCGGCTCCTGAGCACGCGGCGCAGTGCGTGGACTGAGATTTCCGTTAGTCAGGTGAGGGGAGGGGCTAGAATGCTGTGTTAAATCTTAGAACTCAAGACTTCCACAGGAGTAGTGCGGCTGCGCAGAAGTGCCTGCGTGCGCTGTTTTTTCGAAGGCCTTGGTTGGTGATGGCGACAGGAAGTTCTGAGGCATTAGTTTACTTGAAGATCTTGTTTTAAATTGGTACCTTTGATCGACAGTGTGATCTCACCTTTTCCCAGCCCCCTGTGACGCACTACAGCCTTCACCATTTGACTTGGTCTCAGGTGTGCACATCAGCGCGTTAATGTGAAGATGGGGTGAGGGTGCTGAGGGTTTTTCCTAAACGTGATCTGGGTTAGCGATGGAACGCCACCAGTCTTCAGTACCTTATGAGTGGGGCGAGGATTACATAGACCCTGGGGCCAGACTGCCTGGGTTCAAATCCCAGCTCCCATGTTAAAGAGCTTTATGGCTTTGACAAGTCAAATCCCTCTGTGAATCAGTTATCCCATGTGTAGTCAGTTTCCCAATCTGTAACCAGGGTGGGGGATCACAGTCAGTAATGTCTGCAAAGCCCTTAGAGGCAGGGTCTGCCTCCTATATTCATGTCATAAAGGGCATCTTATCTGGTGTTGGTCTGACATCGTTTTTCAGGGCTGCCCATCTTGAAAAGGAGGCACCTTTATGCCAGGTTGAATATAAACACTTTGTAAAACCCAAGAATGCAGTTATTTACAGAAAAAGAAAGAGAAGACTCTTTTTAATTGCAGTCACGTTTATTTGCAGTTTCTATACACACTTTCTAGGTAATCAAACTTTTCTGATACAATTTTTGGAGAGGGGTTCACAAACTGTCACCATTTTTACTAAAAATAAATACAAGACTTAAAGTGTGGCACAGCTCTAAAATATACAAAGGCTTGGATTGAATGTAAACGTTGAAAACATCTTACAAAAGAAACCATCTTTGGAACAATTAAAAAAGTTCGTATTTACAAATATTACAAAAATACAAAATGGATGCAAGTCCATAAACCATTGTCTTTTCGGCCAGCATGAACTGGTTCTAGTACCAAAATAGTTACACTGTAACCTTCTAAATAGTTTTAAAATCTTTTGTTTTGATCTCTAAATCTGCCAACACTGCAGCAAATGTACTCACTGATCTTTGGCAAGAGCAAACAGTGTGTTTTGTTTGCTACCGCTAGTCCAATTCCTCTACTTAGCCAAAAAAGAAAGAAAAAAAGCGGACTCAAAAAGCAAGGTAAATAGATTTCCCACACAACATAGACATGGTTGGATCAACATAAAAGGGCAAATTAAAAATTCCCATCAGTGCAAATAACAGAAGAAAAGTTTGGATTCATGTTCTTCGTGATACCTAATGTGTGTATCTGGCTTCAAGACACCAGCGATGTTGACGGCTAGCCCTACATCTTGGTTTTCAGAGCTTGAAAGCCATGTAGAATATTTCAGATGACCAAGGAATTTCTTCTTTTCTTTTCTGTTTTAACTCAGTTTGTTGCTCAGTACTTCTTTTCCACAGTGAATTTTAAATCCATCTTTATTTGGGTTTTTTTTTTTAAACTATGAAATATAAAATAGAGAAACTCTGCTATAGATTTTTAGAGTAAACAAAATAAGTAAAACTATGTTATAAGGGTTAGTTCTGTGATCATTATATATAGAAGCTCTTATTGCCTCACAATTCAAGTCAATATGTATTTTAAAATATATATGGTACCATCACGTAAATTAATGTCAGTAATAAAAAGGTGACGTTTTTATTAAAGCCAATTCATGTTTTCACGATTTAGAATCAGTTTTACAGCCTACATACCTTTCTTTAAGCTTAAAAATCCCCTAACGACACAAAGCCACACTGCAAATGAACTGCTTTTATGAAAACTACAAAAGATCACCTATTGTGACTGGAAATGATTGTTTCTTACCACATTGATGTGTCTAAAAACTTTATTTTAAAAAAATTTTCCAAGCGTACTTTTCAAAGCATGAGGAAATAAAGTTACTCATGTTCCCATGTCATGACAAACCATGCTGGTTTTCTTAACTAATGGGTTCTAATGAGAAATGGTGGTCCAGTTTTTTCAAACCCCCAAACATTTTTATTTCATTAAAAATTATAACACTTTGTAAATGTTCAAACCCTCTACCAAATAGCTTATCTATCCCAGCACTCAAGCCCACACACACACACACACACACACACACACACACACACACACACCCTCCTCCTCTACCCCTCCACCCCCAGCACCCATTTTACATACAAGGATGACAAGAAATCAAGAAAACACAATTTGGTAGTGAAAAGAAGTAGAAGAAACCAGACATATTTTCTTTTCTTTACAAACAAACAAAAATCCAACAGCAATCAGATTCTCTAATACCTAATCTATAACATTTTAGAAAGTGTTTCTATTAAAAGACAGTATCTTCTTAGACCAGGCTTCCCCCCTTCATACTGCATGAATTAAAGCAAATCCACAAACCCCCCTTCACACATCCCATTTTCCCAAATACCACTTGCATAAGCTTAAAGCCTGTTGCTTGTCAACTTCTTGATAAACCCTGGTATGTTCTATCATTGTAACCACACTCTATCTAGACTTTTATAGGCCATATTTCTTCTTAGTTCTATTTTCTACCTCCTCCCATTCAAAATATACTCTAAGCACATAGCTGTTTATGCTTCTGACATACAGTTTCAAACATTAGTATCAGTTCATGTTAAAATCAGTTCTTGTGTAAAGACTACTTGCAGATTTCAACTTGTCACTACATTTTTCTTTCAGTTTTAAGACAAGAAAATTCAAGTAATTTCAAGTAATTCAGCTTGTTTCCCTGCCTTCATTTCGTCAGAGCATTTGCCCTGACATTTCCTTTCCCACCCACCACCCCTCCCCTTTTGCCATCAAGCAGATATAATAAAACCAGACAAAACTCAGTTGTATGTAGCATTGTGAATCAGAGCTGTTCCCCATTCCCAGTTTAACAGCAACTATAAATAACGCATATACACACCTACTTTTCCTAGCTACATTCTTCACAGTGTCATTTCTGTTCAATTTTAGGTAGCACGAATCTCGTCAACACAGAGAGAAAGCTTCACTGAACTCATTGCAGGTACTTACTGATAAATCAACAGCTCTGTGGCATGCTTAAACGTTTTGTTTCTGTTCATTTAAGAACCCGGAGTTAATTGCTAAACTGTCTCAGGAGTTTAAAGATTATAGCCATTAGATTATGACTGTGTATATCCCCAGTAGCCTAATATAAAATATAACCTAAAATGAACTACTGTTTCCCCTATTCATTCTCATTAAAGTAATCCACTGAAAAAATTAAAGTTGAAAGGACACTGTCAAATGCTGTTGTTCAGGGCTTTGTGTCAAGAGTGATGACATCTCTCGTTAATTAAGAAAAATCAGAAGCATGCTTTTCATTCTGCCCAAATTACCACATGGTAAATCACAACCATGCGTGGCTATTAGCTTGTTTGGTGCTGAAATTTGTCACAAGAAATGGTTAAGTCTGAATTATTATTTTAAATATATCACATTTCATTTCATGACCTCAAGATTTCCTTTTTTCACCAGTTTGATTCATAGTTGAAGTTTATCATCAGAAAATCATATTGGTGGACATTTAAGTATTTGATATGAAAATGGTATTCACAGAATACAATTATTACATATTTTTGTTGTTGTTTTCTATAAACAGTTGGTATGCGGTAAATAATTGGCCACATGTCCACTTGTCATTGATAAATCTATTTATACATTTTTATCAAAAATATGGTATTTACATATGTGTAGTTCTTTCTTCTAAATTTTGCTCTAGTTCATTTTAATGTAGAAAAATACCAAACCTCCACAGTAATTTCATCTCTTTAAAGAATCATGACAGTGAGGAGTTTTAGTTTCTGAATAGGCAGCTCTGGGAAAAGTTTTTCTGATATCATGAAAAGTAGGTGTTGTTTAACTCTACATTATCCAAAGGAATGGGATTGGGTCAATCAAAGGAAAAGAAAAACAGGAAACAGTGCAGCTACTGAAAAAAAATGTAAAATAACAAAGAATTAGTAAACAACCTACTGTTCCCCAGCATATATTTAGAAATTCATTGGTAAGCAGTGATGGTACCCCATGCTTTTCTGATTTCTCCCGAGTTCTCTGTTCCCTTCTGACATGTTTATATATACTGTCCAGGCCACCTAGGTTGAGCTCTGGGAGGATCGGTCATCATGTGGGCTCCCGTCCGAGTTTTCAGTCTCGCCTTCAGAGATAGCCTGCATGGGAGTGTTGTACAGTCGGCAGCGGACGCTGTAACGGCTGCTGCTGGCAACAGGGGGTGCCCGGGAACGTCCAACTCTTGCTGAAGCTGAGGTGGCAAAGTTCTTTGAGGAAAACCCCTCTGCATTCACTCGAGGGGAGCATGGAGAGATAGGGGACAGTGCCTCGGTCCCAGGTGATCCCTGATGGGCCTCATCTGGTACCTGAGGGGAATCCACTGTGAGCTCCCCAGGGGGCTTGGGCAGGATGGGGCTCTTCAGGATCTCCGTAGCAGACATGCGGTAACTGGAATCTGAGCGACTGCCTTTCTTGAGAAGTAACAGCTTAAACTCTTCATTGGATGTGTTGGATTTTTTGGCATTTCGGTAGATGAGCCCAGGAGACCTCTGGCTGGTTGGGGTTGTCACATTGCTGCTGGGTGAAGTGGTGGGACCAGCAGTGCTGCCAACGGAGACTCTGGCCTTGCTTCGAACAGACATGTCCCCAGAATCTTTTCTTCCAAGTACTTTCCTCTTGGATCTTTGGAGGAAAGGAAAAATAAGGCTGAAATCTCAGTCCATATGCATTGTTATGATACTAAACATACGCTAAAAGTATCCTTTTGAGTGCGTCCTTTATGATCAGACACTGAGCCTTGGGTGCTAGAGATGAGGAACAAGATGCATCCCTTGTCCTTGTAGCACTCACAGCCCCTGGGAAATTCTCTGATAGCCAGTGGACATAAATTCAGTTCTAGAAGTGACCATTTACAGTCACTAATAATGTGGAGGCTGCACATGCTACCAGAGTCCTGGTGTGGCACTTTAGGGTAAACGCTAGATCACTAACCACGAGGTTGATGGTTCAAATCTTAGAAACCCTATATTGGGTCACCATGAGTCAGAACTGACTTGATGGCACTTACCAGTAACAATAATTATAACAGACAATCTACAGGAGGCGTTATTGGGAAGTTTTGCAAGAGTAAAAGAAAATACTATTATCTGACTAGCAGTTTCAGTGTGGGGGTGAAGGACAGTATTTTGTCTTATTAAGTCTGTCTCCGTAACACACATGGATGCTCTGGTGTCTGGGATTGGCTTCCAAATAAGACAAGAGGAGGGAAGTGGATGGAGGTGTGGTACATTATACTATTCTGTCTACATTTTCATTGTTCCCTATATAAACTATTTTAAATGATTTTTAAAATAAATCAGTCCTTCTTTGGTTGCCAACACCATTTCCAGAGCTGCCTGAGAACATCAGTGTGTTAAGAGGTAAGCCAACGTTCTCTGAAGAATGTAAACACAGACAGTCTCTGGAGCTCTTAAATCTTTGTACACTGTAAGGTCTCAAGAAAACAACAATTCTTGTCAGTATAGTGCAGCTAAATAGGTGAATAAATACTACACAATGCAAATCTAAGATTACCAAACTCAGTATACTGAACCACTCTATTACCAAGCTTCTTTGGATAAATAAACAGAAGTAAATTCAATGAATCGTCAGTGTTGGCTGAAAACGTACCTGACTTCATTGCGAAGTCTTGGCAACATGCTCTCTTATCAACTGAAAACTCAGTAAGGTAGAGAGAAGGTAACCTTTGAAATTGGACCCAAACCTGTGTGGTTAATAGCTTGCATATGCCGGTGTCCAGCACTCTAGTAGGATAGAAATTACAAACTGACACTTACTTTTATCATCTAATCTATTTTTCATGCCACAATGTGATTTTATCATCAAAATCAAATATCCGAGCTATGTTGTTAAGTGCTGTCAAGTTGGTTCTGACTCAGCAACCCTGTCCAGGGTTTCCAAGATTGTAAATCTTTACAGGAACAAAAAGCCTCATCTTTCTCGTTCAGAGCAGCTGGTGGGTTTGAGCTGCCAACCTTGCTTATCCTACAGTGCCACCACATTCTCCCATTTATAGTCAGGGAATTAGATCCAGGGTTTTGAAAACTTGATGAAAGACTGCATAGAAAGTGACGTTAGTATTCAGATCCAGGTCTTTCTGACTCTCCTGCTTATGCTCGTTTCACTGTTCTAGCAGTGACATCTGTCTTTCGGGCAAGAACTTGGCTCTTACACTTGCGTGCTCGCTGCCTTATAACTACTGATGTTCAAGTGACTCTGACTCATAGTGACCCTATAGAACTGCTCCTTAGGGGTTCCAAGGTTGCAAACCTTTACTGCTGCATCTTTCTCCTGCGGAGCAGCTGGTAGATTCAAACTGCTGACCTTTTGATTAGCAACCCAATGCTTAACCCACTGTAGCACTAGGACTCTTTGTGTAGCATTTTAGTAATTTGTCCTCAGGATGAGGATAAAGTGGGAAGTGGTGATAGGGGAGAATCTAATTGGAGCTTAGACATGGGTACAAAGAAAAATAAAACAGTGACTCTCCATCCTCAAAGTGGAGAAATATGCCCGCTAGGGAATACACAGAAGGTGATTAATATTAGCTCCTTAAACACAAAAACACTGTTGTTCAAGAGTAATGCTCCTTCTTTATGAGAGAACCACGTTAACAGAAAGCAGAAGTTCCTTTAAAGAATAGGATCCCAGGAGAAAAGATTGTTAGCTGTTTGCAAAGAATTTGCTACAAAAATGAATACATAATGTGCGAGAAAAGATAGTCCCCAAATTTTGCGACTTGAGAGTGCCATCTAGGTCACCGAGACCTAGTGTAAGAAACAGATGAGGTACATCATGAGTCCATAGCTCAGTCTGATAAGGGTTCAGTTCCCAAGGGTTATTCTTTGGCTGTCCTTGTTACACTCACTGTAACAAATGTCCTTGGAAATATGGGCCATTGATCGTAAGGGTACACGTGAGGGGGCAGATGAAACTGTCAGTGGGTATCACTGATACAGGACAGTCCTGGAAAGCAACCCAGAGGACACCCCTATTTGGTGGGAGGACATGCCCATGAATTGTAGAGATGTAGGCCAGTACTATTACAGAAATATAAGTGTTAAGAGGAGACAAAAGGGAGTAATGAATTGTTCTGAGATATGGAATGGGTAGGTATATACAGTCTTGTTTCAAACTTGGTGCCCTGATTGTTTACTGAAACAACTTCTGTCTGCCTCTGCTTATGTATGATTATAGACACATTTCAGAATCACACGATTCCTCATGAATCATATGTTCAGAATACATATTCTGGGTTCAAGAAATGATTTTAAAATTAGAATTATGCTGGAGTTTGAGTTATTAAACAATTTGAGACACACATTGTTTTCAAATAAAAATTTGTTCCAGAATATCACACAAAGAGGGAGGAGGACATCTTCCTTTAGCAGTTCTTATAAAATTCCCTCATGGCAGGATTGTTGTTCTTAAGTTGTTAGGTGCCCTTGAGTTGGCCTTGGCTCCTATACCACCCTTACAGTTGTTGCTGTGTTTGCATTGTTGCAGCCACTATGTCGGTCTAGCTCACTGAGGGTCTTACTCTTGCACTGACCTTTTGCTTTACCAATCAACATGTCCTTCTGTAGGGACTGGTCCCTCCTGACACAGTGTCTAAATTGGGAGAGGCAAAGTCTTGCCAGTCACGCTTTCAAGGAGCATTCTGGCTGTACTTCCAACCCAGATTTGTTGGTTCTTCTGGTAGTCCATGGAATACTCAATATTCTTCACCAACACCGTGATTTAAATGAATCAATTCTTCTAAGTCTTCCTTTTTTGTTCAGCTTTTCAGCTTTCACGTATGTATGAGGTGATTGAAAATACCATAGCTTAGTTTAGGCACAACTTAGTCCTCAAGGTGACTGCTTTGCTTTTGAATATTTTAAAGAGACAGTGTCAATATTTTCTCCATTGATCAGGATGTTGTTTATTAGTCCACTTGTGAGGACTTTTGTTTTCTATTTCTTAAGAAAGCTGTAGTCTTTGATCTTCCATCACTAAGTGCTTAAAGTTATCTTGGTTCTATAATGTGTGTGATACTTAAGATTTTATGTCAACTTGACTGGGCCTGGATTCTCAGTGGCTTGGAGGTTAAGATGTAGTTATTCCTCATGATAAGATTAATATAATGTACTCAAATCTATGAGGAGGTCTGCTATGAGCAGCCAATCAATTGACATAAGGTTTCCTGGAGGGTGTGTCCTGATTCCAGTATATTAGACACTTTGGCAAAATTTGCTTGCTCTCTGTTGGGTCTGGATCTTGAATCTGGCTTGCCTTCTGCCCTCTGGTTCTTTGGACTATTATCTGCCAATCCTGGAAGTTGTCAGCAGTCTGCCTTCTTACCTGCTAAACCTGCCTGCCTGCCTGTCTTATGACTGGCCGATCTTGATCTTGTTTCATCAGCCCTGCAGGTACATAAGTCAGAAGCCTCCAGACTTAAATCTAAGCTAAGCCATGGATTTGGAATTGACTACCTCTCCAACTGTGTGAGCCATTTCCTTGATACAAATTTCTCTTTTTATATACATATACATACATACATACATATATGTTGTTGTTGTTGTTAGCTACCATCGAGTTAGTACCAACTCATAGGGTCTCTATGCACAACAGAACAAAACACTGCCCAGTCCTGGGCCAACCTCATAATTGTTGCCATGCTTGAGCCCATTGATGCTGTCACTTTACCAATCCACCTCACTGGGGGTCTTCCTCTTTTTCTCTGACCCACCACCTTACCAAACATGATATCCTTCTCCAGCAACTGGTCCCTTCTGACAATATGTCTGAAGTATGAGAGGCGAAGGTTGGCCATCC